AATTCAGATGTATGCAACACGCAAGGTATCTGAAGGCTCAAAATGCAATACTATAATATCGCTCTTTGTTATGCTAATTATTTCTTCCCAGCTGCTCCTGCAACGAGTGCCAGCCCGACCTATCAAGCAGGAACAAAACCTCTAGGCAAGCCTGCTGCTGCAAGGTCCCTTACCTCCGAGCTCAAGGGGCCAGGGGCTGCCAGTGCTCTGGCACCCACACACAAAGCGGAGAGGTGAAACAGAATTTCAGATCGCAGCTCCGCTGCCACTGGGAACATGAACCGGGAATTAAAAAGTGATATCCTCCTGACAGCCAGGTTGCCATGATTTACATCTTCCCTTAGGTCCCCTCCCCCTCCACACGCATCTTCTCAGCTCTTGAGTACAAGGAAGAAACGAGGCAGTGGGAAAGCATTCAGGCAAACCTCAGAGGCTCGGTCGAGGTTCTCATTTTGGCACCCGCCAGGGCAGCACTATGTGATCACGAAGGATTTTCTGTGCATGGGTGTCATATTCATGGCAGCCTGAAAATGCTGTGGTTGCATTATTTAAATTAAAATTAAGTTTCCAAATAAATAAAAAAAAGGCTTTATATTTCCAAAGTGAAGAGAATAAAATTATTGGTTTGGTTGGAGTTCTATTATTTATGTTGACATTCAGTTAAAAGAGTGTCTTATTCCTGTGTTTCTAGGGCCTAGGAAGATATTTTATGCATAGCACATGGAAATATTCAAAGGGAAAAAGGATCTTTGGCAGCTGGAAGGGAACTGACTACTGGGAGCTTCTGGCAACTTAAGAGGCTCCAAAGACCATTGGGAATGTGGGGCAAGCTCATTACCCAAATATCTTTTTTGTAATGGTCACTGGTGAAATACCTCAAAAGCTGACGTTCAATCATCATCTTTAAGCCTCAGAATTAGCAGAAGGAGCACTTTCAATGGGCAAATAAACTCACACTGTAAAAATCCTCACCTCAGCCTGCATGCGGAATAAGGGGAATGATCTGACAGTAGCTTAACCTTTACTCACAGTTTAAGATTTTCCTCATGACTGATGACTATACAGGCTATTTTGGGGTTTCTGTAGTGGAGCAATTCTACAGTGAAAGTATGTTTCACAACTGCAAACATAATGCATCTTACTTCTCACAGCAAGCACAAAGTTTGCCACTATTACACTAATTACTCTGCTGGTAAACCAGAATCCAAGCTGTCAAGCAAAGGAAGGGGTCAAAGAAAGAACAAAGGGCATTCGGCCTCCAAAGGTACAACGTAGGCTGCTCAAGATCAAAAACTTACTCAAACTATTTTCATGTAAATTATACCAGAAATTGAGAAATGTAGGTCATTTTGGTCATACATTTTTGAGACTCATGAAGGATAAATTTGGAAAAACGTAGCACTTAAAGTACATTACACTCTGAGGGTAGCAATACAATGTATGCATACTCTGATGATTTGTAACATAAAGGGCAATGGCATTTTGGGCCATAACTCTACGACTTCACTCAAAGGAATAAAGGGCCCACGGCAGCCATATGACTGAGAAAATACGGCTAAAAAGTGGGGCCTAGTCACATAAGTGAGTATAGAAGATCTTGTCTCAAAAAAGCAATGGATGGAGGCAAAAAATTACATGGATTTTTAAGGTTGATGAATATAGCACAACTGGATTTGAAAATAATTTGTTACTCATCTCCTATTTCCAGAGACAGAGGCTTCCTGTAACAAGCAGAGCGGCCAGTCCTGCACTGCATGGGTGGAAAGGGGCAACTGCCATTTGAACCCTGCTTTGAGAACAAGGCGAGGAAACACAAAATCACCAACAACCAGAGCTGTGGGCAGCCCGCGGATCAGACTGGGCACAACCTCTCTGCCAATCACTGGCACATCATCATCTCATGCCAGCTGAGGGGCTCATCACCCCTCGCCCTGCTGCAACAGCCACCAGAAAGCACTGGACATCAGTCACACCTTACGGGTGAAAATGCTGCATTAGAAACAGGATGGGGTGAGCAGACGGTGGAAATGCCATTGGAAGGCCCCGCTGTGCTCGCTGGAGAAGCACAGCCCTGATGGCTGTGGGTCAGGTTTCCCTGGAGGAGGCAGTCACCAGCCCCTGCTATCCTGTCACCTCCTCCACAACTGCCAGAGCCTTTAATTATTTCAGGAGGCAGACAGCCCACGGTACAGCAAGATGAGCCTGGCAGGCTATTCCACAGGGAAAATACCACTGCAAGAGGTAGAAGCAAATGAAGTGACCTTGATCAGACAGACCATTTATCTTGTTTCTGCAGTCCCAGCATGACAGATTAGATGCTCTCTGCAGTAAATTGGACAATGATGCTGTACTAATTGAGAGGAATTGCTAGCCTTGGGAAATAAGTTGTTTTTCAAATTCAGCAGCTCACTGTTTTGGGGTTTTAGTTGGGGTTGGTTCTTTTTTGTTTGTTTGTTTTTGCTAAGTAAGCATGCTTCTGAGCACACGCAGACCACACATCTGTGACTTCTCCTCGCACTCCCTATGTTCATCAGAGGGAAAACTAAGCACAAAGATTAAAAGTAGTTAAGCACTTGCCTACCTGGTTTTTCAGCTGGATCTGGTGAGAAGGCTTCACGTACTTCACAGTCTGCACCACTTTTGCAAAGCAGAGGAACTGAAACTCCACCTTCCCCAAGGCTGCATTTGCTTCCTTTACATGACTTATAGACTAGGGAGAGCAGCAGCAGCAGGCCAACTACAGCCCCAGGTGCAACCATTTTTGCATGACTACAGCCTTGGAGTTGAATCCAACCTTCCACACCTGCCCACAGCCCCCCGACACAGAAAGCCACTGAGGCTCAGTGGTGAATTCAATCTGGTCTTGCAGCCACAGCTGCTTTGCTTCACACTTTCTGTGGAGAGCCAAGAGAGGAGTGAAGGTCTCCTCCTAACACCCCTCAGCCCCAGGGGTGATTTGTGTTCGGTTCACCATGCAGACCAGGCCTTTGGTGTATACCTCGCATTATCAGCCTTCAGCTGAGCAGGATTAGCTGCTGCAAAGGCACTAGGCACCCTGCCATGGCAGTGTTTACATTAGAGCAAATGGACCTCACAGAGACAGTTTGCAAACACCACAAGACGAACTTTTGTAAACTCCCTCGGTTTAGTCATCTTTCCCCATCTGCCAGAGAAGTTAAAGTGAGATTGAAAAAACACAGGAAATTACTGTGTATTCCAGGCGGCTGTGACCGAGCGGCTTGGCTGTTACACGGGATGCCTTGCGGAAGACTCGCATCTCCCGGCATCTCCACCAGGATCCTCTGCAGCGCGGCCCCAGCTGCGCTCTTCCAGCCAGCTGCATGCACCCTGCCAGGAGAAGCCCCCGGGGTGCTTCATGTGGCTGTCGAAAAGCTCATACCAGTGCTGAGGAGCCCCAAAAGACTCCTCCGTGCAGCCAGGGCAGCCCCTGCCTGCGAGGCTGCACAGGTTAAGTCTCTGGGAACATGAGAATCACATTCACCAAATAAAACACCAGATGAAATCCTTTCCCTGCCGCAGCTTAACCCTTTATCTAATGTGACCAGCTCTTTTCTGAGAAAACTTACAAAACACATTTTATCAAGGCTGCTGGCATTAGTAAGCAGCAATCGCATCTGTCACACCTCTGGCTGTTGCCTTTATCTCAAGAAGCCAGTGAAAGGGCATGAGACGAAGGCAGACCAGAAATCACCTTCACGCCCTGCTTCAACTGGCAACCCTCAGTCACCAGGTCACTGCCATGGCACAGTCCCAGGGCTGGCAGCTGGCAGGGCCATTCGGCTGCTTGGGCCACAACTGGCACGGGCCTCCGGAGGCACACGAAGTGGTGAGATGCCCTGAAGCCTAGCTAATTTGTTTAATGCCCCTCCAGACCATGCTGCACCTCTGAGCCCAGCGCATCGCCCCAGCAGCATCGTGTGTCTTCAGCGAAAGGACGGGTGGTGAGGTGCGAGACGAAAGAGGAGGGTGGATGGAGGAGCGCTGGAGGATGGACTGTGGAAAACACCTCTTTACCACAGCTAATGCCTGCAGGCCTGAAAGCAGCACTTCATTGCTGCTGCTCAGCCCACGTTTGTTTTCTCCATGGAGCCAGCTGCCGTGCTGGCATTGCGAACCAGCACCAGCTGAGGCTACCGGTGTGCTGGGGCTGCACAGATAACCATGCCAAACTGTTTCCATGCTTCAGCTAGTCCAGTAAGAATAGCAAAACCTTACCAAAAGTATTAAGTATATATGAAGCGCAGCGATATTACACCACGTTTTGAAAAAGGAGCACAATTTTTCAACTCAGACGAACTATGCATTTCCACACATGGTTCTGTATTTTCTGGTGGAAAGAAATCCTTGAAAATAAAATAACACTTTTGTCCATAATGACATTAAAATAGACCTGACAACAGAAATATCGTTTTTTGTTTGTTTGTTTTCTATATATTAGGGATGTACCTTTATCAGCGGGGATTAGCCTGCTGAACAGCACAGTGCTCTGTAGTGTTACACTCCAGCAGCAAAGTGTCTCCTGCAGGGGGTAAAACATTCACTGTGGAGATAAGCTCTTCTGTCCAGTTCTTCAGGCAGATAGACCAGCAACACGCTCAGGAGCATTCGTTTAGAAGTTATGCAGGGGAGACGCGGATGAGAGGCATTAATAGCATCTTGGAAAAGAAGTGTTTCTTGTCAATTTATGTTAGTAGCAAAATACTCCTGGTATTGGAGCGTGCAATGGGGAAAAGGCCTATCTATCTGGTTTGCACTCTCCACATGCCACAGATCAAAACAAAACTGAACAAGGAAACCCACTAGACTGGTCTGAAGGTCCCTGAAACCCAGGTGAGGCTGGGCTCCATCCTGGCCTCCACCTGAGGTGCAGGAGTTGACTGCTGCATAACCTCTTCAGCACCAGAGCAGCTGGATTGAACGGTATTTCCTTGGGTGAGGGAGGGAAACACGAGGAAAGGATCCAGCAGCCATTGGAGATGTAAAATTAAAATGAATTTTGGTCATTTTAATAAATATATATCAAGGAAATCTCACTTTACTACAACAACACATTAGTATACAAGCATCTAATATTTAAGCTTAAAACATCAAGTGTTTATCAAATATTGGAAAAGAGCAGACATTACTAGACTATCTGGGTATAACACAAGAAAAATCAGTTTTTTTAAAAATTGGTCCTTGTGGACAAATGTCTAAATGATGATCCTACTCATACACTGTATGAATGAGATCTATATTTAATATTATTATTATTAATAAAAAAGCTTCTGTCTTGGAGAAATCAGGTGGGATTTGCACTTTCTTTATCTGTCATTCTTCACAGCGATAACCCTTAAACACCTGCCAGTTCCCACTCACACGACGGTGCAAAGGTTATCACTGAGTTATGTCCTAGATGTTCTCCTGGGGTCACCTTGGCTGGGAGGGGAGACCTTTTTCCTGCGACCACTGCACTTAATTCATAAAAGCTGCCTGGGTTGCAAACCTGACCATGGGGTGTGCATGCTGCCCAACATAACCACGGCCCAGTAGGACCCCGGCTGAGCTGTGAAGCCCTGGTGCTCTGCAAGCTGCCCAGATCAACTGCAACCCACAGACCTGGCTCCAGCACCTCTCCAGAGACAGCCCAGGGCCGGGACCCCTGGGTGCCTATGTGGAGGTGAATGTCACCTGCTGGACACAAACTGAGGTGGGAAGGTGTCACTTGGATGCGTGATGCTGTGGGAACAGGCAGCTATTATGAGTCCGCTGTGGCTTGGATGTGGCTACTTTGCCAAGCACATCCTGCAGGTTGTTATGGGGACTGTGGGAACTAACTAATTTGGTAGATCTAAGACCCACAATACTCTCTGTCCAACACCGACAAATGCCTTCTGGGCATTTTAAACAGCACACTTTTGGAATCAATCTGCCTAGGGATGACTAAATGTTGTCCTAGCCGCTGAAATCTCAGCTCATTTCTCCAAAATGTTCTTTTTTAAAATTAAAACCCTTACATTCATTCAGATAAAATCATGTTTATCGCCACATTATTGATTAACTATCATTGTGCTTTTTGTTTTCTGTTGTTGTCTTTTTTAAATCAACAGCAAAAGTAATATAAAAACTCCCGCATGCTTTTGCAATCTAAAAGAGAGGAATTATGCGAAACAGAATAAAGTATAAAACATGCCACTGGTTCATGAACTTCATTATACGAAGAAGGAAATAAAAGAGCCCCAGCAACAGACAGTTGCCATAGAAACACTCAAGCATCGAATGCTTGTTTACAAGAGACATCTCTCTATTGTTTCTTAAATCCCTTCCTAAGGATGGCAAATCAAAAAGCAATTGAGCATCAAAAAGGAAGAACAGAGATGTTTGAATAGGAAGTTGAACTCAGTACTTCAAAGGTTAAAGGTTTCTAATAATATTGATCCACCCTGTGTTGTTGTGTTGTTTGTTTGTTTGTTTTCCTCTGCTTAGGTTAAATCCCTGCTGTATCACCGATTTATACTTAATTTTCACGCTGGCAAAAATTAAGACAAAAAGTAAGGCACCAAAAAAAAAACCTGCCCTGTATAACAACAAGCCTCATTAGTTACTACAGCCGAGGTGAAAACGTGCAAGTACTTGAGCTGCATGTTGTGTTTCTGATTAAGATCCCGTAAACAGGTTATTTCCTTATGCTATGTCCCATTTTGTCAGTTGAACGAGATGCTGAATCCAGGAATTCAGAAGTATCAATACAAAATGTAAGGATGGTTTATTCCCAGTCCACATAGCCAGTCCTTTGTCAGAGCAAACACCGAGTTACAAGGAGCACATCACCCTTGCTGGTAGCATCAATTTGTTTACCAGACTTCTAATTCCTTAGTAAACAGAATGGAGGTTCTTCTTAATTAATGGCAGACTTCTTGGGGGCGGGGATGTATAAAACGATATGTTTTCCCCATCTGGCTGATTGGTATTTTCAGTAACAAAAGCTACACCATAGCTGCACAGACTATAGTGCTAAGCGGTAACGCAACTGCGTTCTTTATGATAGTCTCCATACTTATAAATAGCCCGCTGATGCAGATCATAGCGACGCTCTCCGCAATCTGCTCTCCAGTCATTTAGAACTACATGTAATGTTTGTGGCATGATTGTATCATTTGTAGAAAACTATAAAAAATCCATTCAAAATAAAAATCTGATAGACAAATGAACATGCTGCGCATGCTTCAAGGGAGCAAGAAAGATGCCTCATATTTTACTTCCTTTGCTGCAGCACATTTTATTACTTGGTAAAGATTCCTTTTTCCTTAAGGATTTTTTCCAAGATTCACTTACGTTACTCTTGTCATTACATCCAGTCTCAAAATAGTCATAAAATTTGCCTTTACATTCGAGAGCATGGGTGCCTCTTACAGGTTCACAGTTTAGGGGGGCACTGTCTCGCTCAGGTTCATTACTGCCCTTCTCGTCAGCAAATTTTGCCTTTTCCTGATTACCGTGAGGCCTGGCATTGGTGACGAATATTTCGTTAGCAGGTATCTGGTCGTCGCTCCTGTAAGTAGGGGCACTGCCAATGTCATAATCCACCTGCTGGGAACAGCTGGGCAAAGAAATGGGGGAGGAAGAGGAGGAAGAGGAGGAAGTATTTTCCGTACTGGCACTGACCGAGTAGGGTAGGTTTAAATAGTGACTGCCGCACTCTTGATAGAAGCAGCACGTGTGGAGCTTCTCGTACTCCTCCTTGGCCATGCGGAGACGTTTTCTGTACGGACAGTCCTGAGGCACGAACCACTCCTGTGGCGAGGCGCCACCGAAGGAGCAAGCGGAGAAGCACCAGTTGTTCTGCATGATGATTTCTCCGTGGATTCGCTTCATTAAGTTGTTGATGAGGACGGATCTCCGCAGGTAGACTTCAGGGTCGTCAATGAACTTCAGCTTTTCCAAAGACATGTAAAGAATATGGGCCCGCTCCTCAAACACCGAGATTGTCTGAAAATGCAAAAGACAGAAGATACAGAAGTGAAGTCAAACGGTTTTGCTCCAGGCAAGAGAAAGAAAATGAAACACAGTATTCACTCCATGCCACTGCTTTTCTCGTTCTCTTTCTCAAGCACCTAGAAGTGGCTTCCCATTGTGCACACCCGCATGACTGGGGACCTGCTTTTTCTTGTCCACAGAACAGCCCAGGCTGAGGTGTAACCCCGTTACACATCCAGAGGCACAAACCCAGGATGGGAGAGTGAAATCCCAATCTGGCTCTTTACTTGCATCTGGGGCTGAATCATAAATTTGTAGTGCAGTTTTGCTCCAGTCATGGGGGGCTCTTTGATGTAAGCGGACCCAATCCCATCCCCTGTGGGGCTTTACAGAGCCCTGAAGCCAGGCGAGGGTCCCTCTGTGCGGCCTCTCTGCAGCATGGGCCGCCAGAGGTTTGTGAGACACGGCCGGCAGCAAGTGCCAGAGCAGCTTATCCACCGCCAGCGGGAGAGGCCCTCCAGCCAGGAGGCCTCCATATGCCATGCTCTCGACCACTGCTCTTGTGTACAAAAACGCAAGCAGGGAGGGAGGCAGGGAAAAACCCATCTCAAAGCATTGCAGCATCTGGAGAGCAGCTGCTGGCCCGCACACTACACCCTGCGCTCCACGGGACTGGTGGGAACGCGGGTAGGCAGGGACAAGGTCAGGAAACGAAGAGGGGATGGGGATTTGCAGAAATCCTGGCCGGGAGCCTGCAGATTCGTTCCCCCTGCCATGGTCCTTCCAGGACTCCCTTTCTCAGCACTGGCAGCGGGAGCAGGTTACTGCCCCCGGGAGGCCCCGGGCTCTGCACTGTAATCGCTACCCTGGGAATCAAAATAGAGAGGGGGTAATGCACGCTACTGTAAGCAGCATTAACTAATTTTCATTTTTAGTAAGAATTTGGTTTGTGTAGGAGGAGAGAAGCACAGCACAAAGAGAGGCTGCTCTAAATCCCCCCCATCTGTGGCTTGATCATTCTTCCCTTTCCCACATGGTTACAGCATTTTTGCAGAGTGGAAGTCGTAGCTATGAGGACTGAAAGCGCTTAAAGCACAGCTGCTTTTCACATCCATTCAGCTCTCCTCAGCCCTCCAGCTCTTTCCACAGCCTGGGCCTGGCTGCAGGGCTCAGAAGCAGCACAGCGCCTCGTAAAAACAAAAATTGGCCATGTTTCCAAGCAAGTTCACAGCTGAAGCTCTTCTTTGTTAGAGAGAATAGTTCTTTGTAATAAAAGACCCATTTTAAACCATATTAACCCTACAGGTTAACCTGCGTCCTTTACACATGCTGTAGTAACTGACAGGGAACCCATAAAAGCCTCGAGCGTGAGAGGATCATCCCGGAGATAGGTCCTGGAGAGCCACCAGCAGGAACCAGTCATCAGAGGCCTTCTCCCATGAGTGGTCACCAGCAGCCCTGGAGGTGGGCTCTGGGGCCTACGGGACAACCCATCTGAGAGTCTTGCTGGGCAGAGGAGGCACAGAAAGCGTACAAAATTCAAAATAATCTGGGGAGAATCCTCCCTCCCCCAGATCTCTGGGTTGCAAAGCAGGGAGGATATCTGTGCTGGACAGCAGGGCCAGGTTGCCCAGGGTTTCTGGCAGGATAGGCGTCTACAACAGCTCGGGAGTCTGAGACAGGCCTCTCTCGCCAGCACCTCTACAGCGCTTTTTGGTGCTGTTAGAAAGGGACAGGCAGTGATTCCTCCGCTTTGTGAGGAAACTAATCGCTGATGCAAAAAATCCACCAATCTATCCAAGGAAAAAACCTGGCTGAAATCAGAGAAAGGCGTGACGTGACACATGGGAGACACACTCACTAAACGGGGGCCATTTTTCGCCACCCTCGTTGCTCTCTCTTCATTGCTCTGGGTGCAGACCGAGCACCTTCTGGAGTTAGTGGCAGGGCAGTTTTCCACCTGCCGGTCAATCCCTTATCCCCAGCCGAGGCTCTTCATAGCTGAAAATTCCTTTGGCTGCTCTAAGGTCCAGCTTGGTGTTACGGCCTGCTTCTCCTCCGGGGCAGCAGGATCCATTGGGGCTGACCTCCCCACCCAGCACCATGGCAGGGGAGAGGCACCACACCCCGCGCTCCTCCCAGGAGGTTGCATCCACAGTGTAGGGAAAGGTCATGGAGGAGCCTCAGTGCTCTGTGCCTCGGCCTGTTTTAGTGTCCATTTTCGGGGCTCTGGTGGCACTGCCACCTTCTGTGAGCAGGGCTTCCAGCAGAGTGGGGCACGTCCTGTCCTCTCCACCTGCACCAGTGATGGGGCAGTACTGGGGCCCGGCGGGATGCTGCGAGGCAGGGGGATGTCCCGGGGGTGTCCCAGGACACGGGATGTCCTCAAGCACGTCAGTCCTGGTGTTGGGCTCCTCACAGGGCTGCACCCCTGGTGAACAAGAGCACCACGTCTCCCAGAAAAAAAGTCAGATTTCAATTTATGTATTCACCGGTCTGGGAAACGGCTGCTCTAATCCCTCCCTTGACGGCTTTCGTTAAAAAAAAAAAAAGAAAAAAAAAATTCTTTCACTTACTAATCTGTTCTTTCGGAGTTATTAGCTTTTTAATAAACAGGATTAAATACCAGAGGAGCTCGTACTCCCTTTTCGAATCATTCTGCTTCTCCAGAGGCTCTCTAGCCCTTCTGGGGCACAGGGAACCTGCTGCTGTTATTTTCTCCCCTGGAAAAAGTTTGGAGTGAATAGGGAATTGTGGGCCCTTCTTATTTACGTTTGTTCTTCATTTCTGGTGTTCAAACTCTACAGAACTGCTTCTGTACACATGGTATAAACTATCTAAGAACAAAAGAATCTGGAGAAAAAAAAAAAAGTTATTCTGAGCATTGACACTTAGAGTTGTTATAAATACAGAAACGCCTTTGCTTCCTAGGCAGTTTGCTGACAATAAAACAATAAATGTGAGCAAGCGACAACTATTTGTTTCTGGGCAAACAGCTGGATTGCTCCCCTAATTTCAGCAGAGTATTTCAGCCTTCTGGAAACGGGTCAATGGCTGGTGCTAAGCCTCTGAAACTCGGGGTGAAAATAACGGCTATGAGAAAACATACTTTATGCGCACAGCTGCCGAGCGGTGGATGGAAATCCTCTTCTTCCACATATTTCCTTTTAAAGTATGTGATCTTGGATGTCGCTACAGGATCTGAAATTCCCCTGTAATGCGATCCTGCGGGCAATAAATCAGACAGGACAAACGACACGCGGTTTGCCGGAGGTCCTCCAACCCAAATCCTTTTTTTCCCGATGAGGGGAGCCCGCTGCCGGGGCTGCGAGTGGGGAGAGGGGACGGGACGGGACGGGAAGGGACGGGACGGGACGGGACGGGACGGGTTGCACACGGGATGGGACAGGATGGGATTGGGGGCCACGGGACCGGACAGGGGGCACACGGGATGGGTCGGGACGGGATGAGGGGCGATGGGATGGGACAGGACGAGGGTCCACGGGATGGGACGGGGGGCACACGGGACGGGACGGGATGGGACGGGACGGGGAGCCACGGGACGGGACGGGACCTACCTGAAGAGGGGGTCCCGGTGGCTGGCGGTGCCGGAGCAGTGCCGGGGGCTGCGGTGCCGGTGCCGGTGGCGGTGGCGGTGCCGGTGCTGGTGGCGGTGGCGGTGCGGCCGCAGGCGGGCGGCTCCCAGAGGGCTCGGTAGGCGGCGAGGTCGGCGGCTCCCTCGGCGGCGCTGGGGCGGCCCAGCCGCTGCATGGGCAGCACCAGGGTCATGGCGGGGGCCGGATCCTGCGAGCGAAGCGGCGCCGTGAGACCCCGGCCCCAGGACCCCCGGCACCCCCTCCAGACCCCCGACACCCCGGGCACCCCTCCTGCTGGCCGGCCGCCCTCCTGCCGGGCGTCCTCTCTGCATTGTTACCATCATCATCATCATCATCGTATTAATATTATCACTATTATTACTGTCCGCACTATTATTACACTATGATTATTTTGCCTTCCCGCGGCCGGAGAAGGAGCCGAGCCCTCTGCCACAAAGGGCGCGGGGGCCCCGCTCCCTCCGCCGCCCCCGGCCCCGACCCCGACCCCATCCCGGACCCCATCCCCGTCCCGTCCCGTCCCGTCCCGTCCCGCCCCGCTCACTCGCTGCCCGGCTCGGCTCACTCGCTGCCCATTCTCCTCCTCCTCCGCAGCTGGCTGTGCCCGGCTCTGCCCCGCCGGGAGCCGCAGCCCGGCACCGGGAGGAGCAGGAGGGGGGTCGGGGCCGGCCGCCCCCCGGCGCCGGAGGGAGCAAAGTTTGAGCGAGGGGCAGGGGACGAGCCCGCAGCCACCCACTTCTTGGCAGAGAGCGCGGAACAATGCGCCCAGAGCCGGCCCCTCCCTCCCTCTCCTCCTCCTCCTCCTCCTTCTCCTCCTCCTCCTCTCCCCGAGGAAGAGGGATGCGGTTCCCCTTCGCGCAGCCCCCCCGGAGGAAGGCCCGCAGGTGGGCAGGTGGGATCCCAGCGCTGGCTTGCGGTACCAGCTAGAGGCAAAAAATAATAATAATAATAATAAAAAATAAAAACAAAATTAAAACAACAAACCGCAGCAGAAGAGGGAGGAAAATAAACCATCCACATCTGCCGCTTGGTTTCCCCAAGTCCGGGAGGGATGCACGGGGCTGCTGCTGGGCTCGGGATTTCGGCTCCCGCACCCGCGGGGCTGCCCCCCTGCGCCCCACCGAGGCAGAAAATGGGAGAGGAAGGGAAGCGGGCTGAAATCCCCCAGCCTTCCACCCCAGTAAAGGCCACCCCACATATGTACTGAAAGATGCCAAAGCCCCTTCCTCCTCATCGATGTATTATTTTGTAGCTTAAAACTCGCTTACGAGCAAGGTAACGTGCCCTAGGTGAGACCCTCTGACATTTTCTCGCACGTTAACGCCCTCTTGCTTTCCCTGGGCAAAGAAAGAACGAGGCAGGGAATGACGAGCCACCAGGGAGGTCACCCGTGGCACAGCCGAGGTCCTGCATTTATCCCCCACACCTTCTGTTTCCAGCTGAGTCCCGACGCACGGAAAGACTGCTCAAAACCACAAGTGGGTCAGGGCCAAAAGAAACAGCTGAGAACCAGCTCAAAAGTCATGCATTTCGTGGCTGAAAAGGTTGCGCTGCCTTTAGAAAGCACCCATGGACTCTCCTCGTTAATCTGCGCCGAGGAATCGCTCCCAGGGAGACATCAATCTTCCGATGTTGGCCTGATGTCAACACTCAGTGCTGTCCTTGGAGAGTAAGGGCTGGAAGAAACTCACCGCTGCGCTGGGAAAGTCAGGATTTCTTTGCTCCTAATGAGTTCAGCATCCCTTTGTGGAATTCTTTTATGAGAACAAAATTGGACTCAGAGCTGTCGACCGTGCATTTTGTTACCATATTTCATCACAAGTAAGTCTTTCTGCGCTTAAGCAGAAACACACAGGAAGGAAGGAAGGAAGGAAGTGTTGGGATGCCTTCTGCACACTGCTGCTGATTTATCTCGAAAAAACTGACTTCTCTGGACAGCCTGTAAAGTAAATGAACTGCTTCTGCTATTTACAACATGCAAAATTAATAGAGGCAGGCCAGTTAACTTCCATAAACAGCTACTGTCCACGCACATTCGCTGTGTTTCCAAATGGAATAAAACCAAGGCATAAATAATAGAGCTTCCCGAGGAGGAAAAAAGAAAAGGAAAACCAAAACCCCAAACTGAGCTTGTGGGTCTGGGCGTGCTTTACAAAGCTGCAGAGGTGGCACTCAGCTACAAAATAAGCCCCATTTTGTAGCAGAGGAATTGCTTCGGCGCAGAGAAGCAGAGAACCAGCCTTTTTAAGAGGCTCCTGACGCCGGGCATGCTATTTGCTCTTGTTTGATTTTCAGAAGCGCTCACTGCCAGCTGCTGCAAATGAGTGGGAAGGGAGCTGCGGGGACGCAGCACGTCAGCAGTCAGCCTCCTGCAAGGTGATGCTGGACACCGCAGAACCGAGAGCCTGAAGCACGAGGGGATGTTTCTGAGGCACTGTGGCTGCACCTAGCCCAGAAACAGGACCTCTGGCTTTGCTCCGGGAGCTGCCGTGCCGTTTCTCCCCGTTACAGGCAGCAAAATCCCCTCCTGAGCATTTTGCCAGAAGTCACACAGCAAATCAGTGTCAGAGCCAGAACGAGAGCCAGATCACATCATCCCCCAGCCATAAGCCCAGCCCATTTATAATACATTATCGTATGCAATGGAGGGATTTCATCCAAAATCCCATTCATTTCAATGAGACTTTGCAGAACAGCACACGCATTGTTGCATTTCCATTAACACCACTGGAAATAAAGGATGAAAGATGTACATTTGAGCATACAATGCATTTACTATACAAAATTACAGCGAAAGGTTGACAGTCGGGGCTGGATTCAATTTTTGAAAAAGCCATTTGGGAGCCTTGTGTGGGCTTCAGTGGCATGGAAGCCAGGCAGGGCTCTTTATTGAACCCAGCCCTCCATCCTTAGGCTACCACAATTTTTCCATTTTGCCAGCCAAATGCACGCAGTGCGAGGACACCCTGAGGCACATGCAGCAGCCCGAAGGTTAAAACGTCAAACTTTTTCCGTACGCAGCTTTACACAGCAAGACTACTACGCGTTGCTGCTCTACTCCATTTGCTGGGTTTTTGCTCACTATTCCTCCAGAGCCATTATGATGTTAATGAGAGAACTGTAATGATGCCATTCACATTATAACAAGCCTGATGCGATGTCAGTGAAAAGGGCTTTTTATACACTTCCAGAATGCCTTGAAAAAAAAACAAAAAACAAACTTAAATATAAAATGCCTGTTACCATAATGCTGCAGGTCTTACAAGATCAAGAAAGACAGGGGAATAGATTTAGGACAGCCATTCCTTTCCTAACTCCTGGGTTTGCACCTAAGCTCTGCATGCAGAGTTAGCACATATTCTGGAGCATTCCCAGTACATGGCAACGTGGCTTAAGGAGAGAGTAACGTCTCCTAGCTGTACGATGCCACTCTTAACATCTGGACCGACGTGCTTAGAAATATAATTGCCATCAGCTTGGTAACTATTCCCTTCCTGGCATTATCTGAAATTCGCACCACAAAAGCGATGGGAGTCCCCCCGTGGATGAGAGCCAGACCCTAACCAAGTAAGTGGCACCTGGAAAGGAGGAGGGAAAGCCACAATCCAGCACCCAGACCAGTGCAGGAGCATGAAAAGTGACAAAACCAGCTGTGCCCTGCATGCACTGTTCCAGGCTAACCTCACTGCTAACTCCCTACTCTCTGCCACGCAGTTTGGGGGCCCCAACTTCCCTGCTGGAGGGCAGGTGCCCTGTGGGCAGCCACATCATGGAGAAGGGCACAGAGGCTTCCAGAGGGAAGCAGTGGATGCATGAGGACACCCGTAGGGACAACAGTGGAGCGGTGACAGCTTGGGCAGGGCTGTGACAACCTGGAGTGTGAAATTAAAACCCTGCTGCCGGAGAGGTGGGGGGAGGCTGGGCGCTGACCACAGCGCTGGATGGGGAAGAGGATGTGGGAGCTTGTGGCTGAGCAGATCGAGCTGGCCGATAGGCCTGGAGCTCAAGGAGGAGGAAGTGAGAAACAGAGATGGGAGATTAGGAGGGCCTTGATTGAAAGTGGGTGAAATCTTTTGGGTGGGTGAGCATGGAGCTGCGGTAATGCTTTGGAGGAAGCAGTGGGCACGCTGGGGACACCGACTCACCGTGCACTGGGGAAATCAAGTCATGGTAAACAAAAGTGAAGAGTCAAAGGCGATTCCTGCATCCAGGGCTCTGGTGGCAAGGAGAAGAGCGAGGCTGCAAGCACTGGGTAAAGAGGAAAAGCACCTAGAATTATGTGCATTCGGCACATGGGTTGTGCTGAAGTTAAACTGAAACCGAAGTCGGACTTCCAAGGGGCAGCTGGCAGCAGGAGGCCACGAGGCTGTGCAGCTCCGGGCTGTAATGACTTTCTGCTGCTTCAGCCTCACCTGGCTTCAGGAGCACCTGTAGCTCTGTAGGTGCGATGTGAGGGTGCAGCGAGAGGGTTACAGATGTCTGGAGTCCTCAGGCTGGTTGGGTGGCAGGTCTGGGTGCCAACAGGGTCAGTTCCGCTCCTCAGCCTGCTGAAGTACAGATAAACCACAGGCCTGCCAAGCCCACTGCTTTTCCCTGTATTTCTTGGCCTTCACTTCAGGGAAATTCAAGGAATCTGCTGGTTTTTCTTTTTTTTTTTTTTCTCTTCTCTTTTTTTGCCTTCAAGAACCAGACTTACTGCTTAGCTGAAAGGGAATTGACTCGTAATCAGAACTTGTGTCAAGATATAGCCTTTCCATGAAAGTGTTTCAAAGGTATCTTCAGTTCCTTAACTTCTTTCCTAACTTGAATGGTACAAATCCAGATGCTCTAGTGTCTCCTCTGCAGGATGGAATTTCAAGCAAATATTTCTCTGCCTTTCCCAATTCCCACACGCTAAATATTTTACTTTTAATTATTTTCAACAGAATTCGTCCTATAAAAACCTTCTGGAGTTTCTTTGTCCCGGTTTGTCAGAGTTCCCCTGTTTTCTTAGCAAGCACAGTTTCAGATTAAAAAAAAAAAAAAAAGTAATCTTTTGAATTCCTAGCAGTTGTGTTTTCTTCTGCTTCTGGTTTCTATAGAAGGTTTCTGTGCTGATAGCAGAGGTTTCCTTTTTAATATCTTTCTTTGGAGGTACGTCACCTCCCGGTGCTCTTGAGGGCCTGTATGCAACGAGCTCCTAACTGGTGGTTGTAGCAGTTACAGTTTGCACCAGAACTTGTTCAAGTATAGAAAATGCAAATAAATTCACAAATTGTTTCTTCCCACCCCCCCCCACAGATCTGAAAAAGGTGTCATTAAGTTTACTGCAGCCACCTCCTGAAACATGTGTGTCCTGCCTGCTCTAGGAGAACAATAAAGCCTCACTGGTATTTATTCCAATAAGCGTAAATATTTTTTTCCAATGTTCTTCGCCAAAATGTCTCGTATGCTCTCCACCTCCACCCCGCTGGTGGTTGTGTAGCTCTGCCATACGAGTACAGCTCCCTCCAGGGTCCAGCTCAGTTTGCCAAACCAGGTCAGTGTCCCGGGGTAAGCGGTGTTCCTGCGGCAAGGCACGAGGGGCCGTGCACCTCTGGGGGGCTTCCCTCTGCAACAGGTCTCAGCACTGAACAGGGGCCAGGTGTTGTTACAGTGACGAAGTCAGGAAGAAGATGGGGTTACACCACTAGGGCTGGTCTGAGGCAGCAAAGCCCTTCTGTTACACGCGGAGACTTCCCGAATCCCAAGGCAGTTCTCGTTCTTTAAGAGGTACCAAAAAAAACCGCTTCCCCAGCTCACTTTTGCTCCCGTGCAGCAGCGCACGCATGTCACTGGCATCATAAATTAGATGTTTTATGGGGTTAATTATATCGCCTTCTTCACTTTCTGTCTGCTGAAGAAGGTAAACAAAGCAAACAGAGAAGTGTTTGGGAACAAAGAGCGAGCTGTCTGCCACTGTGCCCTGTGCTACTTTCCACGAAGAATGACTGCTATTATTATTCTTTTACAAGTTTCCTTCTAAGGGAAATAAACACCAAAGGTAGGATTCCAAGGAAATGACTCACAAATATTGGCAACAGGCTCTGAAAATTGGATCCAGTCTTTGCAAAAGCCTGAAGCAGAATGCTCACCCGTCTTACTGCAAAATAAACTTCTCCCATACGAGCCGTGCACCGGCTCTGTGTGTGTGCACGCGTGCACGTCAGGAAGCAGGGACCGGAGCGGCATAAACCATCTCACATCCCCCCCTCCTGCCCTCTGGGGCACAGCTCCTGGTGCCATTTTTAGCTAGAAGCTGGAAATTTTTAATAACTGCCTGAGTCATCCCCGGGAGCAGGAGGGGGGATGAGGCCGTGCCTCACCTTGCCATGCAGCGCCTGCCCTCCCCGCCTGCAGCACCCGGGGGGCCAGCAGCCGATTCACTGCAAGGGGATTTACAAGGGCTGGCAAGTGCCTCCACCCTACAGCTGTAAAAATGAGGGGCAGAGCAGGGAACAGATTTTTTTAATTATTAATTTTCCCCAGTCCCCTGTCGTTGCACTGGATTCAGCGGGGCGGGATCAGCCTGTAATAATCTGCTCTCAGACACCCGTTCAGATGTGCGGGAGGTAACCGTGCCCCGTGACTCATATTTTATTTCTTAACCGGGAACCCTGGGAACCAGGAATGCAGACATTGGAAAATCAGACAGCTGAGCAAAATCAGTGTGGCAGGATTACCATCTGCAAACAGAATAATCTGCTTTGCATATTTATTTCTCAGCTGTTAAAAATTTTGAGTCACAAATGTATTTTCTGTATCACTTGTAATGCACACGTCCAAAAGCGCTACTGCTCACTCATGTTACTTTTGGGGGTTTGTTTGTTTTGGTTTTGAAAATGTAAATTTGGTTAGACAAGAGCAACAAAAACTGCAAATCTTGCACCAAATTCCTTTGCAGCTCGGTTCTACCTAAACAAGGCTTTCAACTTAGAGAATCTGGTCGTCCTCCCTTTTCCCCCCCCCCTTCGTTTCCTTTGCAAAATCCTATTTAACCACTCCAAACCAAGCTGAAGTAAACAGGGACCCCTGTCTGGAGTCAGATTTTTTTTTAGAAAGTCCCTTTACAGCATGCCTAATACTGACTGGCAGCCAGGAACCTACTTAAGACACTAAAGGCCGCATTAGTGGAAGTTTTGTGTCTGGTTCATGGTCTCTGGCACTGCCAGGCCGTTTCTCAAGCCTATAATTCACCGAGTGCCCACCAAACACTTCTTCCAGCAGGACACTTCATGTGGGAATGGATTAGCCACTCATTTCTGTACTCTGGGGACATCTTCCCCAAGACAGGCTTGCTGGGCTAGTGGCACAAATTACAGTTAATAGGAAATACTGTATTTTGATCTGGAACTTCTTATTGGACTGAAATCTTTTTTTGTCCTAAGACTTACAGCATTCAGATCAACGCTTACTAACCTGACTTCACCTACTTGTCTTCCAGTCTCCTTATCTGTGCTCTGGTCTTCAGATTCAGCATTACTGATCTATAAAAGCAAGCAAACAAAATCAGATCTATTTTATCAAAATTTACAGTGTTTTATTTATTTTTCATTTAGCAGTGCAGACCTAAAATATTATTTAAAAATAAATAAATAAAACC